AGATTTATTGGTTTTGAGAAACAGAATATTACATAGTGTAAAAATTCAAAATATAATTGTATTTTGCCTTTTAAATGTAATGTTTATTTAATGCAGGGAGATGACAACAGTAAGGTTATATATATATTATTATGTGATAAAAATGAAAAAAAAAGTAGTGCATTTGTAGTACATTAACAAATCATTTATTGGTTATTGTCCAACAGTGTATCTGATTTATTAGCCAATTAAAAAAAAGAAATAAGAGACAAAATAAAGTTTCCTATATACAGTATATATGAAGGGGTATGAATATATATATATATGTGTGTGTGTGTGTGTGTGTGTGTGTGTGTGTGTGTGTGTGTATATAAAACATTTCTGTCCCCCTCACTTCTGAAATGATGGCAACGCTCCTGTATATAGTATACACAGTGTAGTTTTACCGAGCAAACCGCAGAAACGGTGAGAAAGACCGTGGCAGCTGCCTTTGACTCCTGGCAAGAACTCTGGCAACTGATACATAAAAATGTACAGAATAATAATAATAATAAAATTGTGGGAACTTTGCATCATCATTAAAAAAAAAACATCACCGCACGCCACTGAGAACAGTGTAGTTTTACCGAGCAAACCGCAGAAACGGTGAGAAAGACCGTGGCAGCTGCCTCGAACTCTGGCAGCTGCCAGAAACGACTAGTGGCAGCTGCCACGAACTCTGGCAGCTGCCAGTGGCAGCTGGGGATGCCACCGGAAGGGGCGCTGCGACCTGCCGATGCCAGGATTTGCGCTTGCTCTCGCTCACAAAGCGGCCGTTGCAAAGAGCTTGAACTGCGTCAGAAATAGAACAAGGAAATCCGTTAACTGTCGGGGATTTGTCGCGCCGTGCCGCGTCCGGCGTAGACGATGGGCTCATTTGAGATGCCCATCGCCTCGCCTAAATGCAGGTGAGAGTAACGTTAGGCGGCTGCAGTCAGGGGACGAGTGAAAAAAGTGCAGCGAGACTTTCTCCAAGTGGATCAGACACATGAGATGATGCGAGTTCAAGGATGTTATTTAAGTAATGGTGCTAACTTACAATGAATAAGACTTTTTTACAGATGTATTTTAATGCACTTTTTAGTAATATGACAGCAATCACATAATTCAGAGAGTATATTCAAACAATTTATACACATAAAAACATGATATCAGGCTTTTGAAAAATCTCTTAACATTTTGAAAGAGAACTATTGCTTAAACCAATGAGCATCAATAAGCATAACCAATAATCAGTTTTATTATTAAAAATCCAGTATAATGCTTGTTTAAAAGAAAATTATCATTTTAATGTGTTCTGTTTAGATGTCTGGTTTCTCCTGCCCTTTGAAGACCCCTTATTCTCCTGGACTGTTTTTTTTTTTTTGGAATACTGGTTAGTAGTGGTGAGTATTATTAAAAACTTTTACTTTTGTTTTAAGAGGTTGCATTCACATGTGTACATCTCTGATGACTACTTTGAATGATATGCGTCTTAATATAATTTGATGAGCATAATCCAATAGTCTTAATTCTAATAATTGTTAACTGTTTTAAAACTGATGCATACTTTTGATATTTTACAGATATCTGATATTTCACCAGACAGGTACACTTATTGACATCCACTTCACTGTCAGTCCAAAGCCTCTACATTAATGGTATTTATGAAACTATACTGTAATCTGTATGTTTAGTTGATCGGTTTAAATCACATGTTTGCTACTTTTAAAATCTTTGTCTGACAATGTTGCAAATGTTAATATTAATCTATTATTTTTCTCTCTCCCTGTCCATTGAATGTGTCAGTGTATTAAGGGTGCACAGTAGCAGTTGCAGTTAGATTGGAGTTACCAAAACATCCACAATTTGGACATTTCTGCCATTATCCATGTACGTATTCAAAGTTTGCAATATCATTTTACAGTTTGTTGTAGGAAGACACTATTGGATTTCTTGGCCTACCATTCGCAATCCTAGAACTGAGGTATAACAGTTATCTGTAATCAGTATTTGTTGACCATGACTGGTTCTTATTATATTCAAGTTCACATTTCTCAGGATACAGACGTTACTAAATTATTGAAATTAAGTTTAATATTTCTGTACTGAATCTCATTTTTTAACTGTGCATTCTCGAGGCTGCAAATGAAGCCCTCATCCCAGAATGCATTGAGGAGACAATGCCCACGATAGACCAGGGGACATCAGGATCGTCAATGAGGGCCAGATAATCTTACAGTTATTTGGATAACTTGGCATTAGCTACTGCACAATTCAACTGCCCATCTAACTGAAAGGGAACATTCACCCAAAAATGAAAATTCTGGTATCATTTACTCACCCTCAAATTGTTCCAAACCTGTATAAATTAGTTTGTTCTGCTGAACACAAAGGAATGTATTTTGAAGAATGCTTATAACCGAACAGTTTTAGGGGCACCATTGACTTCCATAGTATTTTTTTCCTACTATGGCAATCAATGGTGCCCCAAAGCTGTCTGGCCTCAAACATCCTTCAAAATACCTTCCTTTGTGTTCAGCAGAACAAAGAAATGTATACAGGTTTGGAACAACTTGAGGGTGAGTAAATGATACCAGAATTTAAACTTGAAGTATTTATTTGAGGTGTATAATGGTGGAGCTTTAAAATCGGCACACTTTCAAAGAAAGTCCTTCCTAAAAAATGTAGAAATGTTTTTTGAAGTACATTAGTTATGCTGTTATTGTTCTTATTGTGTAACATTGTATTACATAAAGCAATTTTTGGGGGGCGTGGGTTGAGGGGAATTAAGTTTTAGTTTTGGATTTTGCTTTTATATGGGCTTATATTATACTTTAACAGATGCATTTCAAACAAATTAGCTATGTCTGTAACATGTCTCCTGTATATTTGTAATATGTATGAACTGTTGTGTACTATTGAAAAAATACAGTATTTCTTTCCAAGAAAATCTAAAATATTAGGGTGCTAAAATGCTTTTATTTATTTAAAAAGTAGTACTTATAGTTTACCAAAGCTTTTTTTTATTCTGTTATTAATTTTATCTGGATTTATCATACATTTGATCATAGTTCTATTTAATTTATTAAAACACCACTGCCTATAGTGGATAAAGCTTTTATTTAAACAAAAATCATGTTAAATCAACAGGAGGTATGTGGCACAAAAAGCATAAAAACAACATTAAAAAATCATGTTAATTTGACAAACAAAAGTTAAGTAACATAAACAGAGATAAATTATGTTGAGAGAATGTAATAAAAATAAGTGCAACCGATGTACTTTTTTTTAAATGTTAATCCAACAGGTTTTTTTTTGTCAGTGTAGGCTACACAATCATGGGGAAGACTGCTGATCTGACAGTTGTCCAGAAGACAATCATTGACACCCTTCGCAAGGAGGGTAAGCCACAAACATTCATTGCCAAAGAAGCTGGCTGTTCACAGAGTGCTGTATCCAAGCATGTTAACAGAAAATTGAGTGGAAGGAAAAAGTGTGGAAGAAAAAGATGCACAACCAACCGAGAGAACCGCAGCCTTATGAGGATTGTCAAGCAAAATCATGAATGTAATTAATATTTATGTGATCTACAATATAATTTTTGAGTATAGTTTGAAACAATAAAAATAAAACGCTTACTAAAAAAGATAACATGTTATTTGTTAAAAAAAAAATTTTTGTTGTTGTTGTTGCTCATACTGGTTTCAAATGGGTGAGTAAATGATGACAGAATTATCATTTTTGGGTGGATTTCTACCTTCAATATATTATAATCTATTAGTACTTTGATTCCCAAACAGGCTTATGTGGAAAGATTTTGGTGTTTAAAAAAAACTATAATAATAATAGATAAAAAATATAATAATAATAATAATAGTAGTAGTAATAGGAGAAAATATGTGACAGAAGTAAATGTACATTTTGTGTCACTTTAATAATTTGACCTGATATTCAGAATAATTAAAAAAAAAAATACTGATGGGGCTGTGGATGCTGGTAAAAACTGGTTATTTTTTTAAAGGGGTCCTATTGTGTTCTTTTACAAAGTCTTGATTTTGTTTTGGGGGTGTACTAGAACAGGCTCTCATACTAGGTTGTTCGAAAAACACATTCTTTTTCATATATTATACATTATTACAACACCTCTCTCCTTGTGATATCACAAATCCTGGAAAATATGCTAGTTGTAGTCCAAACGAGTCGTTCGTTGTAGTTTTTGAAAAGTGATTTCTGTTAAATAAAGTATCTCCTTTTGAAGTGGACTTTGAGCTTTGTAACTTTGCAAATCTTTTTTATGCTCAAACAGCAACATTACAGACTAACTAAAGCTGAAAAAGGGAAAAAGCATAATAGGACCCCTTTAAAAAAAAGATTAAAGAAAGAATGACACAGGATGCTCACACCAATTTTATTAGGCCACAGATACATTTGTAGTGGTTTGTATCAGGCATAGTTGTATACAAACTGTACTAGTCTCCAATGACATCTAGGTAGGCTAATCAAATCAAACTATTAAAAATAAAGCCCCTTCATAAATAAAGACACTTCATTACCTGTTCAAAATAATCCATTAAACAAGTAGCGATTTGAGGAGCGTGCACTAATATTTTTAGTTCCATTCGTTTGTGCGTTGTTTCAAGGACACGCCCACAGCAAGGGAACTAACAAGGGAACTAATGAATATTCACGTAAACTCCACCCACAGGAACAGTTTTTCACAGGAACCAGGGGCGGACTGGCCATCTGGATGTTCTAGAGAAATCCTGGCCTGGCTGGTTCATCATCAAAGAAAAAGTGTCAGATTAAGTGACGCTGACGGCCAACAAAGGGGGAGCGCTAAAGCAATCTATTTTTATAAGAAACCAAAACTGATGTGAAGGAGAGTGGGCTCGTGATGACAAGCAAAAGAAATGAAGATAATGGCGGTTGGGAAAAGCTAAAAGGAAAAAAGCAAACAGTTACATCAGGTTACCTTTGCCCGCCTCTCTCACTATACACAGCATGTAGCCTATAGCACTACACTCTTAAAAATAAAGGTGCTTCACGATGCCATAGAAGAACCTTTTTGTCTAAATGGTTCCATAAAGAACCTTTAACATCTGAAGAACCTTTCTGTTTCACAAAAGGTTCTTTGTTGGTGAAAGAAGGTTCTTCAGATTATAAAAAGGTTAGAAAGAGATGGTTCTTTAAAGAACCTTTGACTGAATGGTTCTTTGTGGAACCAAAAATGGTTCTTCTATGGCATCGCTGTGAAGAACCTTTTGAAGCACCTTTATTTTTAAGAGTGTATAGTAAAATCCGAGGTCCGAGCGTTCACTGCTATTTATCACTCCGCAATGTCTGGCATGAATAATCCATTTATTCATAAAGAGACAGCAGAGATTCTACAACGGGTTACATTTGAGAGCTATTGAGTTAGAAAATAGAGTAAATGAAGTAGCCTATAAGGTGATTAGTCTGATTAACATGACACACACACACACACACACACACACAGAGAGAGAGAGGCATATGAATACTCAAATGAAATAATTCTGTTGTTTCAGGTTTCTAGATTCTAGGTTTATGCTTATCATTGTCATATACATTTTGCATTCTGCTCTTTTTATGTAGATATAGTAAAATCCCAGGTCCGAGCGTTCACTGCTATTTATCACTCCGCAATGTCTGGCATGAATAATCCATTTATTCATAAAGAGACAGCAGAGATTCTACAACGGGTTACATTTGAGAGCTATTGAGTTAGAAAATAGAGTAAATGAAGTAGCCTATAAGGTGATTAGTCTGATTAACATGACACACACACACACACACACACACACAGAGAGAGAGAGGCATATGAATACTCAAATGAAATAATTCTGTTGTTTCAGGTTTCTAGATTCTAGGTTTATGCTTATCATTGTCATATACATTTTGCATTCTGCTCTTTTTATGTAGATTTCAAGTATTTTAGTTCACACAAAAATACATTTATTTCAATCCTCTGTTGGAAAAAAAAATAGAACGCATCACATAATTTGTAATGGTTTTACTGGTTATAATGAAAATTTTATTGGTTTTAATGGAAACTGTAAAGGCGCCTGTTGGTCTCTACTGGTAATTGGTCACCGTCTATTCATGGCTTTTGTTAAAGCCACTAAATCCTAATGTAACGCTATCTATACAACATTTTGGCCATCACAACTTTTGAGCAACTAGTGAGCTGCCTCCCTGAACAGCGGAAATGTTGTCTAGGTAGGTTTTGAATAGCCCGTTTGACAGTTCATCATGAGTCTGGTGTCAAGTACAGAAAAGCAACAGGACATTTCAACATAAGAGGGTGTGCTGTAATAAACGAACTTACTGAGAACCACAGGCGGTCGGTCCGGGCACACTTTCCCCGGTGAGCATTTCAAACTTCTGCTGTCGGTAAATAACAACAACAACAACAACAACAACAACAACAAACACAGCTGGAGCGACGCGAGGATCAACCGATGGCAGGAAAGCATCTCTTTCAGTGGCTCACAGGATCAAGGGTGCATTCCTGTTTATCTGTCCATCGTGAGGTGGTCTGGGAATGATCCGGAGTAGTGTCCCTTAGGGATGGGCGTATCGAGCCTAAGTATCGATATATCGATACTGACGTGAGTATCGAAAGTATCGATACTCAAACTAAAAATATCGATACTGAGGTGTGTTTTATTTACCAGTGATTTTGTTTATTTAAAATAATAATTATAATGCGTACAAATGCATTGAATTGGACGAATAACCTTTGTTCGCAAGTAATTGTGTAGGATAGAACTATTTTCCTGCTCATCTGAACACATGCAAATGTTGCAAGACAGAACCAATCAATCGCAGAGAGCGTTCACTCACTTCTAAAAGTGCATTCAAACAGGGCTGTGTTTCCCAAAAGTATCATAAGAAAGCATTAAAGCTTTTGGGAACGGCAGCCCTGAACAATGCTTATCAGAGGACAGAGTTATTTCACAATAAACAAATTGAAATCGTAGCCTACATAGTTTGTACAATTACAGTTATTTAAATTGAACGTTGAACGATAATATAGATCATGTTCTATTCTGTAATGTTAATAGAAATCATACACTGTCAGGACAAAAAGGTTGCATTTTATGGATGCAACAGCCGGTCACTGGCAGTCCCTTATGATAATGAACCATGGTTTTACTAAAATGACCATAGTTCATCTGTAGTATTTGTAGATTTGAATCATGTGTAAACAAAAACACATTTGAACCATGTGTAAACAAAAATATAACCTAATAAATTACAATTAAGGCGTATTGAATGTTAAACTGTGTTTTAAACAAAGTTAAATGGTTATCATTACCCATTTTACGCTTAGTAATTTAATAATTTTCATCATTTAAAAGTTTAGTTCAGAAGTATCGTATCGGTATCGATGATACTGCCTTGAAAAATATCGGTATCGTATCGAAAACAAAATAAGTGGTATCGCCCATCCCTAGTGTCCCTTCTGGGTCTGAGGAACAGTGACGGCGTGATAAGCACAGAGACAATGCGGTGAAGCAACTAGACGCGAATAAACAATGGGAGAGCGCATATCGGGTCGGTGGGCGGAGCTTTGAGAGACAGTTCGATTATCGCAAAAAATGCTGCAAGAATTAATGTAACAGAGATGTTATTTTCTGCAGCATAAATTACACATAGTCATAGATACATCAGATGTGAACTTCGAAATCACTGTGTGCTTTGAAAATCTAAGATGCTAATTAGGGACTACAGCTAAGGACGGACTGTATGTTATTTATGTTTCAGAATAAAACGTAAAAACATATTCAGATAATAATGATCACAGACCTTAATTTATTCTTTAGGAAACCTATAGCAAATTAGTTTGCAAAATGATATTGCCCGAATTACATTTTTTTTGTTTTGTTTTGAAAAATTATCTGAATAATATTTGAAATCTCAAATATTCTCTTTCTCAATTAATTTGAGTAAAATGTATTTTATTAAAAGAAAAAGAACAGTAGTTCTGATCATTGATACTAACTGGTCAATTCCAGCCATGCTAAATTAGTATTATCTATATACTTATATAGTTCGTATTAATATTTTGAATGATCTTTTATTTATATATTGTCAGTTTTCTTGTCAGTTATTTTTATCTGTTAAGTTTTCGTCATGTTTTTATGTGCTTTATACATTTTTATTCGTTTTCTTTTATATTTCTATATTATTTTATTTCAGTTTTAGTAATTTTAGTAGTTCAACTGAAATGACAATAATAGTTTTAGTTTTAGTTTTCAATAACTATGCTACAACCAGAGTATTGTTAACTAAAACTACCACTAAAACCATAGAAAAAAAAGATGAATAAAAACTTTAATTGAAACAACAAACATTAACTCAAATAAAAACTCCAACTTCAGCTAGTTACCATTTTTCATTTATTTTTAGTTGATGTACCAAATCAACTAAAAAGAAGTTACAACTAAAACTTAAAACTATACATTAAGTATAGAACTATAATACATAGACAAGTTTGAAAAAGAAAAAGTCTAATAAAAAGGACAAAAACATGCAACAAAATTACTAAAACTTTCAAATGAAAATCGGTAATATAAAAATAAAATCTAATTCAAAAATAAAATATTATAATAGTATACCAATGATACTAAAATAACATGCTACTAACAGAACAATGACACATATGTATATATATATTTTAACGAAAATGTGTGTTCTTATTGTTTCATTGTGTAGTAAGCATTTTGAAGTCAATTTTGAATGTAGTCACGGGTTAAGGGGATGATCATAGAATTAGTCATATTGCACATGCAGGTTGCTTTGTTTCACTCCATGTGAGGATGATGTTCAAAGATCATGTGGTTTAAGGAGGAAAAAAATACAAAAACAAGTTACTGATCAGTGTTTCCCCTAGGTTTACGGCTTTGGGGGAGGGGGGTAGATTCCGGGGTTTTTTTTCTGGACTCCTTTTTAATGGTTAAATGACATTTTATTAATCAAAAAGCATGAAACTTAAACAATTTAACATCAATTTAGTAAAAGTTTAACAAATATTACATTTAGGGCCCTATAAAATGTTTTATTTGTCCAACCTTATGTTTTATTGTAACCAAATTCTGTTTTAGCATGTCTAATTATTTGAAAGCATAAAACATGTTTCATTTATTCTTACAATAGCCTTATGATTTTTTTGCTCAGAAATTCTGTGTTGTGTATTTACATTTTGCATTCATAAGGCATTCATTTAATCTATCTGTTAAGTAATGAAAATTAAACAAATTAATTTTTTGGGGAAAATAAAGGTAATTTAATATTACAATTAAAACATTGAAGACATATTGAATGCTTATTCCTTAAAAATAAGGTTTTTATAATTTTAGTAGTAGTAGTAGCAGTCTGTTACGTACATTCTACTCAACAGTAATATATTTCTGCCACAATGCCCTCAAGTTAAACCGAACTTTTATTTTGACGGGTTGCCGTGAATACCATTACATTTCTGTGAGTGTATTACATGATGATAGTTTTACTGAAATGAAACGGTCAAATGCTGATGAAGTGACTCTCAGAGCAGTTCTGGAGATGTTGTTCATGTTTTATGTCCTCATTAGTGAGACGGCAGAGGTTAATATCACCGGAAGCGTCACGAGCGTTTCAGTACGAGTACTACACAAAACCGCGCGTCTGCGTCATTCATTAACACAGAGACACGCAGAATTCATATTTAAATATGAATCGTTTTGCGGCTTTATATTTACAAGTACTAGTGGGAGTGGGCTCACGTGTGTGTGTGAGCGCGCGCATCGGGCGGAACTCCGCTGTGTGAGATGCAGAGAGCGCGACCATAACTAGAGACTGAAATCACATGCCGTCGTGTAAATAAGATAAATAACATAAGGCTATTTAGTTTGCTTAATGAAAGAACAAGGTATAGACATGTTCTATAAGAAAGGTAACTTTAAATGACTTCTGTTGTGATCTGGCGCTATAGAGAAAATATAATTAAATAAAATTAACTTGACCTTCAAGGGGGGCGGGCAGCCCCCCTAAAATAATGGCAGGGGGAAAATGTTGACGTGTATCATACTTAGAACTCCTAAAGTGGTTCAAAGGTTACAGAGTTCAGCAAATATGATCTGTACTGTGTGCAGATAGGCATATGAAAAACATGGACACATTAATGCACCACTAATATGGATAAACATATTTATGTTTTTATTGTAAGCAGTCGTTAAACTAGTAGTTTAACAATGTCACAGCCTAAAAAATATGTTCCTTATATACATCTGTATCTGTATTTCAAATGAAGGCTGTCACTGTACCTGATGCTAAGACTCTGAGGGTCTTCACAGCGCCACCCCAGGGTGCTCCCAGAGAGATGAAGCCCTTAATGTAGTGGTCTTTCCAGTGCGGAGTCTGCTGGTTGAGGAAGTACAGGATGTAGTTGTTGCCCATACGGTGGCCCAGAAGGTAGACCGGTTGCTTGTACTCATCGTGCATCTGAACCTTTTCCCAAACAGATGCAGGAATATACTGTAGTCTATAATATATTTAACGGTTCAATGTTCCTTATATATATATATATATATATATATATATATATGAAATGTAATTAACATATTATGGTAGCATAAAGAGTTTAAGTTATGCTATGTTATACAAAACAAGAAACATCTAGTACATTTCACACTTTAAGAGCTATGGTGGCTACACTCTAAAAAATGCTGGGTTAAATATAACCATAATATAAATGTTTAACTGTGTTTTTCATTAAAAAAAATTATATGACAGTATTATGGATAATGCTTTCTTCACTGTACCTGATGCTAAGACTCTGAGGGTCTTCACAGCGCCACCCCAGGGTGCTCCCAGAGAGATGAAGCCCTTAATGTAGTGGTCTTTCCAGTGCGGAGTCTGCTGGTTGAGGAAGTACAGGATGTAGTTGTTGCCCATACGGTGGCCCAGAAGGTAGACCGGTTGCTTGTACTCATCGTGCATCTCCTCCACCAGGTCCTTCAAACGTGAAAAATATTCCTCCTGCTCATCTACGTGGTACCAAACAGAAACATTCACATAGTTGTTTGTGGGACACAGAAAGAACACTGTGTGAATAGTTGCCAGTGTGTTGCTATGGAGTTGCCAGGGCGTTCCTATGTTGTTGTTAAGATGTTTGAAATGCTTTTTAGCATGTTGGTAGATTGTTCTGTGTGGTTGAAGTGGATCTGGTTCCTCCAAAATCTGTGTGAATATGCACATGTATAACATTATCAATGCTCTTTTATAATAATCATTATTAATGTTGCCATTTTATTGTGTTTATTATTTATTCATTTTGTTTATTTAATATATACATATTTAATATGCTGTATTTTTTTAGTGCTGTCAAATGATTAATCGCAATTACATTTCTAAGCACTCAAAGCGCTTTACATTGTCAGGGGGTATCTCCTCATCCACCACCAGTGTGCAGCATCCACCTGGATGATGCGACGGCAGCCATAGTGCGCCAGAACACCCACCACACACCACACACCAGCTTATTGGTGGAGAGGAGACAGAGTACCGCTGAGTCAAAACAACCCAACCGCTGGGTCAAAACAACCCAATAGCTGGGTTTGTCCCTTTTTAACCCAGCATTTTTTAGAGTGTATAATCTTTAATGTACAGATTAAATACATTTGATAAATTCTGTATAATACACTGTAACAAAGCAAAAAATTACTATATCATGCCTATTAATATAAACTAATACAAAGAGATGTGTAAGACATACTTTCTGGGAAAATGTCATACAAAACCTAGGCTAAGAGATGGAGGATCTTCAGAGCTGTCATTCGTTTTCTCATGGTATTTTCCCTCCAAAATTCTCTGGATTGCGGTGAGAACCTTGTGATTAAAGACCATGTCCAAATGAGCCATGCCTCTGAACTCTGTCACATGCACGGCTTGTTCCTGTTTCTCCATCCAGCGCTTACAGAGACTCATGCTGCGACTGCCAACGGTGTCGTCACCGTCATCGTAAATAATATCTATGGGATCAGCGATTGGAAACTGTTCGTCATACCCGTACGTGACAGGTGTAGGGAGGCCCACCCCATAGAGGCAGTAGACCTCGACGCCAGGTGAGGGCAGACCGGCTGTGAGGTTTTTGGAGTCCTCCCACATATACCAGCCATCCTCAAAGTTGATGTCTTTGAAGAACTGTTGATAGTCCTGGTTGGTGTAGTTGAAAAAGGGGGTGGAGATGAAGGTGTGATCACTGGACCATGCCTCTTCAGAAGGGATCATCCACGGATTTGTGGAGGTCATCCGTTGCTCTTCGCAGATTTTTATATTGGACACGAAGGGTATGCCATCGTTTTCACCTGAAATGGCATAAAGATCAAAACTCCATAAAAAAAATTTCATAGATGTTAAAGAAATAGGTCACCCAAAATTTTTATTATGTAAAAAGGATAGTATTGTTAACAATAAAAAATTAATTTGTAAAATAAATAAAAAAAACTAATAAAAAAAGACAAAAACACACAACAAAATTACTAAAACGTCAAATAAAATTTAATTTACAACAGAAAAACTATAAATAAAATTTAATCCAGAATGTTAAAGCAGCACCTTGTAACTTTTTCTGTGTTCAAAATTTGCAAAATGTATATAATGAGCGAGTACATCATGAATTCATCTTCCAAACCACATTTTTGTCTTATTCCGAATCACTACAGTACATTTATAATAAGTACTTCTATTTGGACTATTGTAGCCTGTTCGGGTCCTCGCCGCTGCGGAGTAACACATACCTGCGTGAATCGCCATAGACATAAACTTAGAGAAGTAGCTCCGGTTAGAATGTTCTTCCGCGGGATGTGTGCAGTTCTGTTTATTAACCGCTAGAGCGCCAAAAGTTACATAGTGCTGCTTTAACACAAACTATAATAGTATATCAATGACTAGGGTTGCAAAGAGGCAGAACATTTTCAGTAAATTCCTAGAAAAATTCGAGATTTTTTTTTTTAACTTTCAGAAAATATTTACATTTTTGGAAAGTTTCTGGAAATGTTCTGCCCCTTTGCAACTGTATCAGTGATACTAAAAAACATTGCTACTAATGGAAGGACCGAACTGAATGAATTTGCTTAATAATATAATATTCTTTCTATGTTTCCACAGTTTTCAATATTAATGATATTAATCATGAGACATTGAAGACTGGAGTAATGGCTGCTGAATATTCAGATTTAACAGCACATTAACTTCAGTGGGTAACCAGTCTTGGGCTACAGGGTGATATGGCTGCCAATAACACAATTACTTGAGATGTTATACTCACCTGTCAGTTGTTTAAGTCAAGAAACTCTATAGGGTGCGTCTGTCCAAATCCAGGGACCCTTACTTCCACCCCGGGTGCATTAGAAGTATTGCGAGTTGTCCTGTTGTACACAATTCTACACAAAAGAAACAAATGTTACAATCAAGCCTGAGCCAATGAAAAACAAGAAATTGTTTTCTTTCAAGGTTACAAAAGCAGGGAGGCTTTTGTTCAAATATATCAGAGCTTCTGATAACCTGATTTGACGTTGTTCTTCTTAACCTAGCTAGGACAGTAGAGTGCGACTAAATATTGATTATTATGATACACTGGCCTGACTTATGACATTGGTCTCTGAGAACCCTCCAAAAACAATAGACAAAAGGTCAATGACCTGAAATACAGAACTGAGGATTATTAGGAAACAGCGGTTAATAAATCAGAGGTACCCAGAAAGGGTTGCTCTGTGAATTTGCGCACATGAGACAAAACAAGTTTAAATATTGAGTAGTATACATTCCAAGCATAAAAAATAGTGATATATAAATACATACACTAAGTTTTTTTGTTTTAAAAGAAATGAATACTTTTATTCAGCAAGGAGGCATTACAGTTTTAGTGACAGAAATTTATAAAGATTTGTTTAAAGTTTTCAAAGTGAGTTTACCTTATATGATCAATTCCAATGGGCATGAACATGTTTAGGTCAATCCAGAGAGGGAACCAGTCCTCGGTTTTCCTGTAACACATCCAGTGTACCAGTGTGGGCTTGTCTATTTTGGCCTCAAGGCGATTACCCAGATTTCCAGGTACTGTTCAAAAGGGGTCAAAAATTAAACATTTATGTAATTAAGCAGATACATATTTTGTTATCACAGACAGAACTGGTCTAAAAGTGCATGAGAGGTCAATCTGTTATCTTTTCTAACCTGCCTTATGTAATAATTTGATATTCTTTCCTACTAAATTAATGAACCAATATAGAAAACACATTAAACAAACTCTCAACTTAAATATCCAAACTATGAATGTAAGATTGCTTACCTATGATAAGCGGAGGAGTGCTATTATTGATGATGAGAGGTTTGGCCGTCGGAGGGAAGATAACGTTAAATAACCAGAATCCAGAGGTCTGGTGCAATCAGAAGAAATGCAACGCATGTGAAGGAACGCGAATGTCCCATTGCGTTTGTGTTGGCCGTCTGCCTCTGAGGCTCTGACTCCAGCGGCTTCAGCTCGTATCTATAAATGAGTTCATCCAATGAGGCGTCGCTGAGTGTGTCAGAACGGGAGGTCACCCGGTAAACACTCGAAGAGCTCCTACCGTGTGTGAAGATTACATTATGAGGGTATATACTTATTTCAATCAATAAGTTCCGGTGTAAACATGCGTGAGGAAACGAACTTGGGTCGATCAAAAGCTCAATAAAAATCATTAGTGTGTTGAAAAGATAAAACACGTGTCATTGCACGAAGTGGGTGCAATGTCAAAATGTGTAAACTAACACTTTTTTTTTTTTTTTTTCATTTTTAAAATTACATTTAAAACAGCTACCCAGATAACGTTTTCAGAACTTTGGCTTTGAACAAACGTTCTTCCAGCAAGAAATAGACTAAGCAGTGTTGCCAGATTGGAAACAAACAAATAAGCACAGTGAGTTAAACTCAGTTAACATACTGCGGTAAAAATTAATTTATTAATGTAAAAAAAAAAACAAAGTTGTACTGCGTTTTTACGTTTTTTTTTTTTTCAAAATTCGTTGATGCAGTGTCATTTTAGTATCATTGATAAACTATTATAGTTTTGTTAATATTTTGAATTAGATTAAGTTTTGTTTCTATTTCAGTAACTGTTTTAGTATCTAGTTTTAGTTTGTAATTATTAATATTTTTGTTTTTAATATCTAGCTTTAGTTATTTTAGTACTTCAACTTAAATTAAAAAGAGAAATGTTTCAGTAATGATTTTTAGTCAACAATAACCCTGCTCTGAATATAAAGCAAAAAATTACAGCATTGGATTTTTTTGTAACGGTGAAATTCTTTACCGTTACTTTTAATGTAATCCATGTTTGCAGAAAAAACAAAAACTCAAACCCCACATTTTTGTAGAGCTATACTATACACAATACTTTTACAATATGGATTTATGTACATTAATCTATATTGTAATAGTATTGCGAACTGTACAGCCGACACTCATCCCCTTGAAGTATAAAGAATGGCATTGGTTTTGTATTTAATTTTTGTTTAACGTTATTAATAAAAAATGTTGTTCAATTAGCATGTTTTTGTGTTTTGCTTTGGTACCGAAATTGGTACCGAGAACAGTGGATTTTCACTGGTATTGGTACCGAATACTGAAATTTTGGTACCGTGACAACACTACAACAGGTTTATAATCGTTTCTCATTACAATAATTGTAATAATTTCCACTGACTACCAAACTTGGATTGGACCATTACAGCTAAATAAGGAAAATGGGATTACAGAAATGTTGTGAATCAGTTTACATTACATGCAGTGCTTCCACACCAAACGCGCCACCTCATACCAGATTCTAATACACCATCTCGCTGTTAGGCGTCCCTCTCGAGAGCCTGTTTTGTTTAGCATTATCTTTCTCTCCCTTCACCTTGAGCTCCATGCTCTCTCTCTAGTGCACAAAATTACACTTTAGAGAGCAACACTCATTTAAAACAAATGCGGAACCCAATTCATCCTCGGACTCTTCATACTTTTAGAAAGTCGGCCAAAATCTAAATTCACATTCAATTGAGGCTTCTTATTTTGGAACTGCAAAAGAACAGTCATCGTCTTCCCATGAACAGTCCCTTGTGTATTATGGAACTGATGTTTCAGATCACAATTTGGGAAAAGGTTTTAAATCTCTCATGAGCAGCAACTCCCTAACAAACCAGGCAAAGCAGAAACACTGAAATGTGCCACACCTTTTTAGCCGCAGGACCTGCTGGTTTAGCTTTCTTAGTGTCTGGTTTGGGTTCTGGTTCACTAAAATCTTCACTGGGACTTTGGTTCCTGGCTGGAGCTGTAAAATAAAAAGACTTTCAAGTTGAGTCCAGCATCTTTAAAAGATCTCAAATCAGAGTTTTTAATTTACATTTTCCTTAAACCAATAAATAAATAGATAAAGAAAAAAGCCCTTTTGTATTTTTCTGAAAGAGACACATAATTACCCCCCCTCCCAAAAAAAATAAAATCAATAACTGCAAAAAAGGGTAAATTTATGGAGTGCATATGTTCACATTAACAACCATGCAAATATAAATGTGTTCAATAAACCAGCCAGGAAGTAGTGGTCATGTTAGCTGTGGTTAAAGGGAAAGTGCATGAACCTGAGGCTGGTTTGGCAGCAGGGGCACTGGAGGCGGGTTTGGAAGCTGCAGCTTTGACAGGAACTGCAGGCTTGGCTGGCATCACGGCCCTGGCCTTCTCCAGCATGCCAACCACCTGGTCCTTTGACGCCGGCTGCAGAAAGACAAGAGGGAGACTGATGTTGCATGACTGCTTTTCTATGGTCAAAAGTTGATCCATGCGTTTTGGTCTTATTAACCATCTACGATAACATTGAATGAAAATCATACTTTTTTCAGGATGCATTAGTGATCGAAAAGGAAAGTAAAGACACGTATAAATGCTTAAAGAAATGCTTTTTTTACAATTATATTCAGAGAATTGAACATACTTTTCCCTCTTACCTTCAGTTTGCCAGCAGCCTTGATCATCTTCTCATAGCCCAGGTGCATCATGAAAGAGGGAAGTGCATCCTGAGCTTTTTTGCGCACGTCTCCGCTGCGGTCCTCCAGGCAGGTGTACAGGTGAGGCACGCACAGCATGAGGTCTGTAGGCACTGTACGCAGGGTGGGCAGCTTCTCAGCAAGCCAGCCCAGCAGCTACAGAATTTTAACAGCATTTTAGCTTGTGATCATTGATCAAGTAAAATTAATTTAAGGTTATTTTTGTTTTTAAAAAATTGTTTCCGCCAGGTTTTTTTCCATAAGCATGAGCTCCATATTTTCTCATGATGCCATTTTATTTTCCTTTTTAATAATTTGCCTAAAGGTTCAATAAATTCTTCCATTTCATAAAATTAGACTGACTCGTTTCATATACCAGGCATTACAGGGTAAACCATGAATGCTGTACCTCCTGTCTGAGGAAGGGGTTTTCCTTTTTGAGTTCCTCTGATAGGTCCTCTCCTTCAAGCCACTCCTTCATTCCAGTCTGCTCCACCCATGCGTTCAGTGTTGACAAGGCTGCAGCACGGACGTTAGCCTGAAAAGTCAAATTTCAAGAAAATTAGAAACAATTCACTCTCTCTAGCTGTAGGTTACCTGAAGAGCCAGACAAGCAGCACAAGTGCACGTGATGCCACACCACAAGTGTAACAAACAGACTCTTAAGTGTTTCATACCTTGCTGTCACCAAGAAACGTAATGACTGGAATTCCCATGTTCTTGACATGCTGCTTGAGAGACGGGCCCATGGCAGTAGCTATCTGCTGCAGAATATTGAGAGCCTGCTGGACCTACACACACATGTTATATGATTACAACCATGCCTTTAATTGAATGCTACAACTGAAATGCCTGAATGGCAATAGAGAGCACAAACTATCTAATGTCAGAAATAAAATGTTTAAATCTGGTTTAGTTGAAATAATTTGAATTACCAGTAGTTTGTTGGAATCACTGAGACGGCCCTTCAATGCCATTGGCAGCTCGCCGATGTTAGCCTGGATGAATTTGGCCTCAGAAATGACGGCTGCCACCTCATCAAGCCCCTCCTTCCTGATCTTCCAGTTCTTGTCGCTGATCTTTGACACCATGTCCAATGTGATTTTATCACTGTGAACAAGAATCGGACTCTTAATTTGAACGGTTTGTTCGCACTGGGATCCCAAAACTGCCTGATGAACGTAACATTTGAAAAGAAAACGTTTTGTGAAGCACTGCCACACTCTCACAGATAGGAGTGGGCGATAAAGCCTCAATTATATCACGATATTTCAAGAATATTTGCGATAATATTTATGACGATATATATAAAAAAAAAAACATGGAACAACGTTTTATTGGTGATTGCAGCTGGCAGGCAGCAGCATTCATTAGTGCAAACAAAATGAAGGCCTTTTCCAATGAGCTACTGTCATCGATAACAGACTACCTAATTTGAAGTGTAAATCTATTGTCATAAGGTGGCAGCAGCAGCAGCTTTGTGTTCGACTTGAAGCAGACCGATCGGTGTATGACGTCAAAATACCGTGAAAATGACTTACCCCTTATTTACACTGCACTCGTCTGCGATGCGTTACGTCTCAGATGCGGCCACTCTAGTCAATGCTTGTGTTTACACCAGTGTTCACTCTCCGCGCCGCTTCGCTAAAGATATGCGCCTCGCCTATTTTTTAAGTTAAGAGTGTGTGCTCAAATATGCTGTAGAACCGCTCTCGCGATACTTTGATTTTATACACCGATCAGTCTGCGCAGCGCTGCTTCAAGTCGAACACACCTATTGGGTTTGTGGCATCTGCTTCAAGTCGAACACACCTATTGGGTTTGTGGCGTTGTTGTTGTGCACGCTAGGGAATGTATATCCGCCATACGTCATCGCGTCGCTATATCATTGATATCGCGATATGACACTACTTTTTATCATGTAAAAATTTATACCGGTATCATCGTGGACTGTATAATATGGCACACCCCTACTCACAGACCTGATATCAGTTCTGGGCAGCAGGTCCATGCTGTCTCCGGCTCCGCTGTCCACCTCCTCTTCTTCAGCTGCATCTCCCTCCTCATCCGCTCCTGCTTTTTTGGAGCCACGTATGGGGGCAGGAGGAGACTGACCCTGCATCTTTATGAAAAACAAAAACAAAAAAAAGTGACAAGCTGAAAACTGACTTAACAGGGGGAAACACAAAAATACATTAGCACCAGTGGTCTATTAAAGTTATCGTTTTGTAGTTCAATAGATGTCCTTTTGTTTACATTTGTTTTTAGTTTGACTTTTTTCTTTTATTTAGTTTATTTTATTTATATTATTGGTTATTTAATTTAAATTACAATCAAAATATCAAAGAGAATCAGTCCACAAATGCCTTAGGAAGTTGGTTTCAAATAGGGCTGAACGATTTTGGAAAATAATCTGCGATTTTTTTTTTTACCAATATTGCGATTGCGATTTAATATGCAATTTTTTTTAAAAGCTCTTTATGTTCTGTATTATTCAACAAAGACAAGCTATAAATCATTGTATAGTATGACCAACACACTATTAGATAGATTAAACATAAATGTTCTTTTCTGTAGGTCAGGCCTCTATGTTACGATGAAATTAGGTGATGCATGAATTGATATGAATTACATTTTTAACAACTACAATCACAGCAGCACCTGCCTGGGTCTGTGCGACTTCATCTATGGCTTTTCTCTTCCCTTTCTCAAACCGATCCATCTCCCATCCTAAGTTACGTCCTTTGGCTGTTTACTGTTTTCTTTTTCTGCTGATGGCCCGCGCTCGACTTGAAGCAGCGCTGCTTAGACCGATCGTTGTGTGTCATACACCGATCTGATCTTCAAGTCGAACACACCCTCTCTCGCTCGCCGTACTTTGATGTCATACACCGATCTGATCTTCAAGTCGAACACACCCCTTTACTCTCGCCTGTCACATGACCGTGTAATTGCAGCCTCTGCGATTGAAAAATAAAAAATTTTCATATCGCGATATTATCGCAAATGCAATTAATCGTTCAGCCCTAGTTTCAAATACATCAGTAGTGTGAAATTAAGATAATGTGCACTATGAAACAATCTGCTTTGATAAACAAAGTGTAATAACTAAATGGACAAACATAAGCAATACAGACAGTGAAGCAGTAAAAATATACACAAACTCACAAACCTATTAGGTATGTGACAAGCTAGGTAGGGAGGGACTGACAATACCAAATAAAAATAATGAATAAGCAGGTGTGGTTCAAATGATTAAGTAGATAAAACAGGTTTTAAAGGGGTCATATGATGCTGCTAAAAAGAACATTATTTTGTGTAATGAAATGCATTTATGCGGTTTAAGGTAAAAAAAACAAACACATTTTCCACATACTGTACATTATTATATTCTTTCTTCTAGTGTTTCACCTTTCTGAAACGCATACATTTTTACAAAGCTCATCGGTCTGAAAAGCGAGGTGTGCTCTGATTGGCCAGCTATCCAGTGCGTTGTGATTGGCCGAATACCTCAAGCGTGTGACTGAAATGTTACCCCCCTTACCATATTGTGATGCCCTGTCCGGCCGGAGCGACGAGACAAAAACAATAAAACCCATTATAAACGAGGTATTTGTTGCATCCAGTGGGGACATAATTACGGATTATAAATTACCTCTACTGTCTTTTTACGTGTTGCATCGCGCCGCATAAACATAAAACCATGTCTGCATTTGTGATCGGAGAAATGACAAAGTGCTACTCTACACTGCCCAAAAAAACTCACGTTTGAATCGTCAGTGGCAAATTCTTTAAATTAAAAAAAAAAAACCTTCCTTACAGTCTGTGAACAGCCAGCATTGTAGTCTACTCTATCAGGATCAGGTAACAGTCCTCCATAAAATGCGCTGGACACATCTGAATATTTGGGTTAAACGGTTTTGTAAATACAACTTAACCACTGATTTCTAGTCGTGTCCTCTTTTGGAAGGCCAAACAAAGTAGTTTCGCTTTCACAACGAAACGGCATCACACACCGCGGCCTTGAGTGAGCGGAGGCCGGCTTGAGTGAGCAGAGGTGGCGGGCTTGAGAATGGCACGGCCGGCGGATTCAATGAAGGAGCTTCTGGCGGGCTTGCGGCAACCACATGTGACGACCCCGGGCTGGACTCCGCTTCATCCACAGTCCCCTTACCATATTGTGATGCACTGTCCGGCCGGAGCGACGAGACAAAAACAATAAAACCCATTATAAACGAGGTATTTGTTGCATCCAGTGGGGACATAATTACGGATTATAAATTACCTCTACTGTCTTTTTACGTGTTGCGTGCGCCGGCAACAACAATACTACAGCGAGAATAAAAGTTACGGCTTCTTTCTTTGCGTGAACATTTGCATAACGCCGCCAAACTCACGTTTGAATCGTCAGTGGCAAATTCTTTAAATTAAAAAAAAAAAACCTTCCTTACAGTCTGTGAACAGCCAGCATTGTAGTCTACTCTATCAGGATCAGGTAACAGTCCTCCATAAAATGCGCTGGACACATCTGAATATTTGGGTTAATACCAAATAAAAATAATGAATAAGCAGGTGTGGTTCAAATGATTAAGTAGATAAAACAGGTTTTAAAGGGGTCATATGATGCTGCTAAAAAGAACATTATTTTGTGTAATGAAATGCATTTATGCGGTTTAAGGTAAAAAAAACAAACACATTTTCCACATACTGTACATTATTATATTCTTTCTTCTAGTGTTTCACCTTTCTGAAACGCATACATTTTTACAAAGCTCATCGGTCTGAAAAGCGAGGTGTGCTCTGATTGGCCAGCTATCCAGTGCGTTGTGATTGGCCGAATACCTCAAGCGTGTGACTGAAATGTTACCCCCCTTACCATATTGTGATGCCCTGTCCGGCCGGAGCGACGAGACAAAAACAATAAAACCCATTATAAACGAGGTATTTGTTGCATCCAGTGGGGACATAATTACGGATTATAAATTACCTCTACTGTCTTTTTACGTGTTGCGTGCGCCGGCAACAACAATACTACAGCGAGAATAAAAGTTACGCCTTCTTTCTTTGCGTGAACATTTGCATAACGCCGCCCAAATCTTCCCACATCATGACGTAGATGTGGGGGCGTGTTAGAACGAGCCGTTTTAGGTGCACGGCCGGCGGATTCAATGAAGGAGCTTCTGGCGGGCTTGCGGCAACCACATGTGACGACCCCGGGCTGGACTCCGCTTCATCCACAGTGAAAGCCAATTCGGTGATCGACAGCGCGAAGTTGATGTATTCCGCTCCAGGTATGACGAAGTGGATATCGTCCTCTTTTGGAAGGCCAACCAAAGTAGTTTCGCTTTCACAACGAAACACACAGCGCCTTCACGACATGGCGGCGGCAACAACACTACTACAGCGAGAATAAAAGTTACGGCTTCTTTCTTTGCGTGAACATTTGCATAACGCCGCCCAAATCTTCCCACATCGTGACGTAGATGTGGGGGCGTGTTAGAACGAGCCGTTTTAGGTAGGCGTGGTTGACTCTTAACTTTTATAAAGAATATCTCTTTGGATTTGAGACTTTAGTCTTTACAACTTTACAGATCTTCTTGATGCACCAAGAGCTTGTAACACTCCAAAGAGAAAGGAAAAATTGAAAATCGCATCATATGACTCTTTTAATGCAAGCTAACACCCACTGATGATCAAGGCAACTCTTTGAAATGACCACTTTCGATTAGTGTATTTAAAAGACCATATTTACCTTTTCAAACTCTGCATCAATTTGTGAAAGTAGGGCTGGTTTTTCGTCTTCAAAGAACATGCGCAGGGGAGCGCCCATGTACAGATACATAACTCCCAACAGAGCGATCGCTGAGGTCCTCACAGCCTTACATTAACATGAACACAGCTCATTATACACAATTACACACAATCAGACAAATGGATTTGCAGTGCAGTTTAAGCAAAGCTCAATAAGTCATAATATTCCAGGCAAAAAAAAATACACAAACAAAACCAAATTAAACACTGTGGCTCGTGACGAAATGATCGGTCTGTGCAAGAAACAACGGTATTATTATAATTTTTAACCTCTGATGCACTGCAATGTCTGAACTGTCCTGAGTGCGTACTCGACAGCCAGCGCGTGACGCGTCTTCTTGCTTTACGGCGGATCGCGGACTTATAAGTGCATTACCGCCACCCATCTCTCAAATGGACCATTGACACCATCTACAATCTCAATTAGGAGTGTCAATGGTCCATTTGAGAGATAGGTGGCAGTAATGCACTTAAGTCTGCGATCCGCCGTAAAGCAAGAAGACGCGTTGGCTGTAGGACACGCTCAGGACAGTTCAGACATTGCAGTGCATCAGAGGTAAAAAATTATATAAATACTGTTCAGTTTCTTGCACAGACCGACCGTTTCGTGTATTTACACATCAATGTATCGTCACGAGCCGCAGGGTTTAATTTGGTTTTGTTTGTGTATGTTTTTTTTTTTTTACTCTCAAAGCAGGGATTCTCATTCACTTCCATTATAAGACTGACAGACTGCAACGGTTTGAGTTAAAAATCTTCATTTGTGTTCTACTGAAGAAACAAAAGTCACCTACACCTTGGATGCCCTGGGGGTAAGCAGATAAACATTTTCATTTTTGGGTGAACTAACCCTTTAAATCACCATCATTAGTAATAATGATATAATAAGATATTGAAAAATGTTAGTATCCTAACAGTTGACGGGCACCGTTCTTATCAACTCTTCGGATTCTAACATTTTTCTAAATATCTTCTTTTGTGTTCAACAGAAAATGAAACTCATTCAGGTTTGGAACAATTGGAGGGAGAGTAAATGACGACAGTTTTCATTCTGGAAGTGATCTTAACCATACATCTGTTGTAACTTTCAAGTGGATAGGCATGTTTAAAGGATATGTATATTGAAACCATGACTCAGAAAATTACTCACAGGATTTGTGGCACCCAGAGCAGTTTTGACATTGTTGATGAATGCCTTGACATTTATTCTGGATTAAGGGGAATTAGATTCAGAGTTAGAAATGAGGAAAAGATTAACTGCACGAAGGAAAAAAAGTCCAGGTATACACACTGCTCACCCTGCAAATCCAAACTCCTTCATGGCATTCGCCAACCAGTTCAAAGTCTCTGCTTGGTTTTTAGGATTTTTCTGAGCGAAAGCCATCGAGACAACCTGCGAATTAAGAAACAAGAGCAATCATTTAAATCATAATACTTTTATTTTTTTTTACATTATTATCAACATCATCATCATCATAATAAATGTTTAATAAAATAAACCACAGAGCAATCATTTAAATCATAATACTTTTATTTTTTTTTACATTAATATCAACATCATCATCATCATAATAAATGTTTAATAAAATAAACCACTATTAGTATTAGTAATAAAAGTATTAAACATGTCTATAATACAACAGCAACAAGTTTACACTTCAATTACCATTTATAATAGAAAAAAGGTAGAACAATAAGCATTATTTACTACACTTATTACAACTATTTTGATGTTTAATAAGGATACAATATTAAAAATGTCTATTTTTATTATTACTATTACTATAATAAAATAAATCTCACAAATAACCCTTTCAAAAAATTAGCAAAATGGAAACTATTTTTCTAGTTTCCCGCTAAAATGTGGTAACAGTCCCACACCACAAACACTAACCTGTTCAGCAGTCCACGGCAAAGAACAGGCCACCCCGATCACAGTGAGAGCCTCTTTAGCATTACTTCCACACTTCACGTCTCCAATCTTATCAACCAGACCATCCAAAACCACCAATGCGGACGTCTTTGAGAACGATCCCTTTTGTGCGATTAAACCCACAATGTGGAGCTTCATTTGCATTACCTGGAAATGGAAAGACACTGGAAACTAGCACCAGATCGAACGCCAAACATTGAGAATTAAGAACAGCCCTACATGGTAAAGAGGACTACCTGAAAGTTGGTCTCTTTCCATCCAGGTTTCTTAGCCAGCATCTTGACTAAAGCCTGGCATGGCATTTCAGATGTGTCCATCTGCTCCACAGCCTGAGCAGAACACATTCAAGTTTAGAGCATATTCCTCAAGTTAAAATCATTACAAATAAGCTGAAAACAGCACAAAAGGTAGAGACACATAACCCAGTCACCTTCTGAAACTCTTCCATGCTAGCAAGTCTCTCCTTCCAGTTAGAGCTGTCCAGCAGCTGCATACAGGAGGCTGGGAGCACAGCGGCAGCCTTCTCCTCACACACTTCCGGCTAATTGACACATAAAATCACAATTACATGACAATTTTGCATGATGAAGTCCTCAGTTCAATAAAATATTAAAAGTGTGAATGTAAAATTGGAGACGTACAGACAACTCAGTCTCGACAATTTCCTTTGTGTCTGGAGCTTTCTTGGACTTTGCACTCGGAGCTGAGGCTGGTTTGCCCTTCTTGGGAGGTCCTGCAGCCTGTTCACAAAGAACGAGACAAACAAATCAGTACAAAACCATTTGTCTTGCTTTAAAATAACCGATTTAACAAAATAAGAACTGGTGGTACCTTTGCAAGAGGAGCTTTCTTAGGAGGCCCGGATGGTTTGGCAGGAGCTTCAACAGGTGGAGGTGCTTTTGCAGCAGGTTTCGCTTTCTTCTCTCCTCCACCGCCTCCTCCTTTCGTTCCAACAAGCTCCACTTTATCAGCACATTCTTTTATCTATTTATGCATGAAACGTGAAAGGAAGAGTCATGAACTTTTGCACTTGTTCCACCCACAGTCTGTTCGCTGACTGCCTGATACACATTTGCATGCAAAACTGGCAAGTTAATACAAAGGAAGTGTGGATCATTCACCTAGCTGGTTTTATGCCATTTTACACACACATATATATAAAAAAAATCTAACATTTATTTTTAAAAGGATGATTGTTTTATTGACCTTTCAGCAATAGAGTTTCTTGAGATATTAAAAACATTTTGCTGTTAACATTGAATTATTTTGCTGTTACAGTGAAACATCATTATATAAAAAAGACCAACAATTTAAACAAAAAAAGACCAATATTTAAAATATACAGATTACTAATCTAAAACCGAACACCTCATAATACAAAATCAAACTCTAAAACTCAGTGTTTTAAATTTAATGAATCTCTCAGATATTTATTAATTTTATTGACCAATATTGGATATTTGTGCATGTTAATTTCCTCAGTTTTTAGGCCTACATGTTGTAAATCACTGACTCTTCAAAAAACAAAAAAGAAACTTTGGCAAATCATACTGCACAGTTGTGATGCCTAGATTTTACCGTTTTTAATTTTAGACCAAAATAGCATCGAAATTTTTATTCAGTCAGTTATCAGAGATTACTAATCTAAAACCGAACACCTCATAATACAAAATCAAACTCTAAAACTCAGTGTTTTAAATTTAATGAATCTCTCAGATATTTATTAATTTTATTGACCAATATTGGATATTTGTGCATGTTAATTTCCTCAGTTTTTAGGCCTACATGTTGTAAATCACTGACTCTTCAAAAAACTAAAAACTAAAAAGAAACTTTGGCAAATCATACTGCACAGTTGTGATGCCTAGATTTTACCGTTTTTAATTTTAGACCAAAATAGCATCGAAATTTTTATTCAGTCAGTTATCAGATTATCAGTATTCACCAGAATATTAATAATATTGTACCTCTAAAAACAGCAACCTAAATGTCATAATGCAAAGCTAAACATATTTTTACCTTGTCCAACTTGAGTTTGTCAACATCAGTCAGGAATGGGTTGACTGCTTTCTCCCCTACCACCTTCATGGCCATCCCCAAAGCCTCAAAAGCAGCATCTCTGACCTCCGGAGCAGAATCATTCACTTGCTACACAGAGAGAAGAGGGACAACTTATTCATTTCATGACCCAAAGACACCAGTACGGACAAGTTTCAAAAAACATTTTCCTGCGTTGACTGGTGGGGAATCTATACCTTGAGGAACGCTGCACAGAAGGGCTTCAGAACGCTTTTTGGCAACGTGCTCGGGGTACAGTGACGGAAGCTTCTGGCGAGGAACAGTGAAGCCTGTTGCTTGATGGAGGGGTTCTTGTTGTCCATCACTGACAGAACATCCTCACTGATGTTTTGCAAGGTTGTCTGCGATACAGTTGTCATTTTCCAAGTTACTAATAAATAAAAAAATTCTGAATCATTTCTGTCAATTGCCACCATGCATTTCGAACACTCACAGTACGGAAGACCGCATCAATGGCCTCCTGCAAAGCCAGAACCACCTGAGGTTTCTTCTCCTTGAACTTCTCCAAGATGGTTGGCACCACCTTCAAAAAAAAAAAAATCATATAGCTGTCTAAAATTGAACAACCATCATAATTTGCTTATCTTTTTTCCGTGGAGTTCATTTCATGTCATAGTGAGCACTTACAAGACCTGCATATGTCCCAAACTTTTTCCTCAGTCCTGCTGCCAGTCCAGCCAAGCATTTGGCTGCCATGGCCACTAGCATCACATTGGCATCTTTCCCAATAACCTAGAACAAAAAGGGAGTATTTTCTAATGACCTTGCTCGCAGAGGATATCCCATTACCCAGAATCCCACTAGGACCGTTACCTTTTTTAAAGCTCGAACCAGGTCCCCATAGTCTCCGCTCTCTAGTTTTGGGTTCTTAATCAAAGCCTCCACTGCCTCCAATGCTTCCTTCCTCTCCTGCCATTTTTTCGCTTCCTGTGACGAGAAAGTGAAATGATGCAGGAATGAAACAAATTGACACAAATTCCAATATTATTTAAATAGATCAGTGTTATATTGGTTTGACTTACAATTTTTTCATAGAAGTCTTTAGGAAGTTTAGAAAGGATCTCGACAGCTTCCAAAAGCTCGTAAGGATCCACCTGAGCAGCTTCAGCCTCATCATCGTCATCTCCTACAATTAGAAATTAAGTTAAATTCTTAGAAAAAAATAAAATTAATCCTTAAAGAATAAATAAACGAATATATATATATATATATATTTGGGTTCTTAATCAAAGCCTCCACTGCCTCCAATGCTTCCTTCCTCTCCTGCCATTTTTTCGCTTCCTGTGACGAGAAAGTGAAATGATGCAGGAATGAAACAAATTGACACAAATTCCAATATTATTTAAATAGATCAGTGTTATATTGGTTTGACTTACAATTTTTTCATAGAAGTCTTTAGGAAGTTTAGAAAGGATCTCGACAGCTTCCAAAAGCTCGTAAGGATCCACCTGAGCAGCTTCAGCCTCATCATCGTCATCTCCTACAATTAGAAATTAAGTTAAATTCTTAGAAAAAAATAAAATTAATCCTTAAAGAATAAATAAACTAATATATATATATATATATATATATATATTTTTTTTTTGGCACAATTTATTACATTTAAAATTACAAGCCTCAATAAGTCAATAAAATGGCTTTTTCCTCACTGACAGCTACTCAGTTGTTAAAGAAAGTCTCCTTGCTTTGTGCTGGCAACTAATTCATTACTATGGCAACCAATGTAGATATACCAGATATCACCACACAACCTGAACAAATAGATCTGATTTCATAACATACAAAATGGTAGTAGGGACAGTCGGTTATAAAAACAGGATTTGAGAGAGAAAAAAAAAAAATCTGAAGGATTATAACTATCAATATTGTCTTCATAAGAGAGTTCAAATTTAATGCTGAATTTTCACTACAGTCTTCTTTTTGCACTGGTGCAGAAGCTGTATTCTCACCATCAGCCTCATCTCCTCCATCAGCCTGCTGTTGCTCAAACTTGGTCTTGAGGTCCTGCTGAGAGCGCAAGAACCTGGTCTGCTTAGGAGCTGCAGTTGGCAGTTTCACCCATTCTTCCTCCAACTCTTTCAACTGAAAGGAAAGCATCAAATAAGTAATAATACAACCTGTATAGACCATTAACATTGAGAGATGAATGCCACTTAACTCAAAAGACCCAATCTTTATGAATACCTCAATGCATATTTTTAAAATGAAAACATTATGTATTTGAAAACTTCATGGTGAGAAGCAGACTCACCTGTACAGAGTTGATATTCTGGAGGGGAGTTCGCAGAGCATCGCGGATCCATCTATAGATCTCCACCGCCAGCAGTCTGGCCTCGTCTCGAACTGCCTTTTCTCGAGACTCAAACTGTTTTGGCAACACTTTCACAACAGACTTGAGAGTAACGATCTTCGATCCAAATTCACTGAAAAAGAAAAAATTTAAAAGTATTTAATGCCAGCAAGTAAGTGACAATTTGACCACCGCATTTTCTTCAGTCTTATGGTTAACAGGTTTAAAAATTGCCTACTCACCAAAGTGCTTTCCTTAGCGTCTCAATGCAAGTGACAACAATCTTGGGGTTCTTGTTATCCAGTCCTTTGATCAGCTCATCCTGGACCACCTCTGCCTTCTCAATCTCTATGTACATGAGGCAGATATCAGTCCCCAGCTCCTTGGCTCGTGCTTTGGGCTGGTTGAAGACTTTGCCAACCACTCCAGAAACCACTTCCCCTGTTGTCCTGCAAGACAAGACTTTCCATTAGATCCCATTAAGACATTATAGATCCTAGGCCCCACAAATCGACACGATCAGTATCAAGAAAATTCTTCTATACTGCGCCAAGTACGTTCCCCGTTTCAGGGCTCTATGCTTACTTTTCTTTTTAGGAGCGCTTGTGCTCCTAATTAAAAGAATGTAGGAGCACGGTCAAAAATTTAGGAGCACCTTCTAATCAGTAATCAAAAATGCTGATAAAAAAAATTAACCTTCCCATTACGAGGTGATATTTGACTCCTTAAAGTGATTTACAGGGAATTTAGTTTTTACCTTAGTAATGGCATTTTTCTAACTTTATTAAAAGTGTAATCTTTTGTGTCAAATTCAAAAATATATATTTATAAGCTTTTTAACATTTCTAATTAATACAACAGATTAAAAACCAAGTAGAATAAGAAGTATAATAAGAATAATTTACCAATCAAATGAAATCAGTATTTAAGAAATACATTTGTACTACAGAGTTGGCACAGAATAACACACAAGTGGCTTATAGGTGTATTTTCAGACGTTTAATGAGGCTCAGAGGTGGCATGAGTGCAACTAAATTAATTTTGAGTTTAATGTTTTATAATATAGAAATATTAAATAATTTAAATAACAGAAAAGGTACTTTAAAAATGAAACAAACTGCCAGTAGGTGGCGGCAAGTCACTGACTTTATCACTGAATCATTCATTCAATTGATTCATTTGAACGTCTGTTTCATTCAGGAACGAAGTACGTGATTGTCTTTGGGTAGTGGGTAATTGAATCGTTGACTCGCTAGATTAGTTTAACGGGGTCATATGATGCGATTTCAAGTTTTCCTTTCTCTTTCGAGTGTTACAAGATGATTGTGCATAGATAAGATCCCTGAAGCTGCAAAGACTAAAGTCTCAAAACCAAAGAGATATTCTTTATCAAAGTTAAGACTCTGCCACGCCCCCCTAAAACGGCTCGTTCTAACACAGCCCCACATATCTACCTCACTATGTCGAAATATTTGCATAATGCCACCCAAATGTGCACACAAAGAAAGGCGTGGTTTCAGTAACCACAGTTAGTGTTGAAACAGCCATGTCAGGGAGATGCTGTGTGTTTCTAGGCGAAAGCAAAAGCACTTTATTTGGCCTTCCGAAAGTAGATGCATTTAGGAATCTTTAAGATGACTTACAACAGAACAGCAATGCATTTTATGGACGACCGTTTCGTGAACCTAGGAGAGGAGGTAATTCTGACTTTGCTATGACAATCTGGCGCTTCTGAATCAGCTACTGTTTTGTTATTAGTTTAAGTATTTGCTATTGACCGTTCAAATGCTGGGTTCTGCGCATCGTGTGTGTGTGCGAGCGAGCGAGAGAGTAACATCACAGTGGACTCAGCTGTCTTAACCGTGGCTTGTGTACTGCAAACACATACCAGCTTCATCACTGTGTCTGTCACGCGACTCTGTTCCCCTTTCGGGCTTGAACTGATGGTAAAACTAATGACATTATTAACTGTCCTTACATTTATTTTGAAAGCTGAAGCTCGCGATTATGGTAAGGGGCATTACATTTCTGACGAGTGCTTGCGGTTTTTGGCCAATCACAATGCACTGGGACAGCTGGCCAATCAGAGCAGACTGAGCTTGTCGGAAGGAGGGACTTTGTAGAAAACAAAGTGTTTGAGAGAGGCGGGGCATAGAGGACCTACAATAATGTACAGTATTTGAAAAATAATGTGTTTTTTGAACATTAAAGCATGTCAACATATTCTGTTACACCAAATAATGATCTTTAAAAAAAGCATCATATGACCCCTTTAAAAACGCAGTTCATTCGTAAACGAAACACCGCTGTGTTTGAATGGAGATGCGCAGCGGCTCAGCTGTTACTTTTTTTTTTTACTATTTTAGTTGACGAAATAGAGCAAAATAAGCCAACTGTGTTGTTGTCGGACAATATAAGTCACTTAATATTCACTTGTTTAATGAACTGTTGTATTAAATCAATCTCACATTTGCAAACTTCCTTAATCATTAAAAGCGGTCACTCATCTTAGTTCATCGCGATCTCACAAAACGCCATTATAATCAACGAAGCTCCTTACACTGCACATTAATCTCTTATTTACACTGGGTCTACATTTTGTTTGTTATAATGTGAGGATACGTCTGTGATACATTACTCAACGCTGCAGAAACACGCAAGTAGGCTACGTTAGAAACTTTGAAGCTCCCTCAGCGCAAACACAAATATGCTGACCGGGTCAGTCGCACTGGTGCTCCTAAATATTTTTTTCATAGTCGCACACAGTAGTTTTCAGTCGCAAAAGTCACACTGTAGAGCCCTGCGTTTAAAGCACCAACTTGAAGACAATTTTGGTGTCACAGATAGCAGCAGAAATATCAGCATTTTTCTTCAAAAAGCTTGTTTAAATTTAAGGAATCTCAGTGTTCTTCATGGAAACGAGGAAATTAGGTATATTTCCATGTTTCCTGAATGGGTTAAAACTACCGTGTTCCTAAACAAGACCTACTTTGCCTGATGACTCACTCAGTCCAGAAATAGACTTTTTACCAGGGATCACGTTTCTTTGCTTTGTTCCAAAACTCAGTTGTAAACAAAAAGCTCGTCAAGCATTATTCCATATAAAACAGGTCACAGAAACAAAGAGCTGCTCAGGGATTGAGGGAAAAAGCAAACACTGCTATTAATCCTCCAAGGACAAAATCAGTGGTTTGTGAAACTAATGACTAGCACTAAAGAATTCTGTTCCTACTTCTATGATGCTTTTTGACATTTAGAGACAACAAAAATAAATAAATACATAAATCTACTTACTTGCCAGCCACATGTGCATTCTCGATAAAAGCAAGTGCTGCCTCCAGCCCTTTGAGTTGAGCTACGGCATTTGAATCCGTTACAAATTTCTTGATAAGTCCAAGGTATTTGCCCCATTCTGGGCTCTTCTCGTCTTTTATCCTCTGGAAGAGCTTCAACGCTTCCTCGTATCCATTTAATCTCGCTTTCCAAATCTAAGTGAAAAAAGAAGATCAATCATGACAACGAACAACCGAATAAATGAGCTTGTGACTTGATAAAGTGACCCACTTTCTTCAGGAGCTGATACGTTTAACAACCATTATTCATAATACAGGACACATGAACTCAAGGACACTATGTATATGAAATGCTTTATTTCCTGAGTGGTAATGTGCTGTATATGCAAAAACTCAGGTTGATAAAACAAAGTACCAGATATTAAACTGAATTTATCAAGAAACTCAAGCAAAAGTTGTGCTGCTCTTAATGTGGTGTGACCAATCGATGTAGCAATTAAATAATCCGCAATTTAAGAATCTGTCAGAATGAACTAAATGATTCAAACAGGAGCACTGCTCACTACCATCTCCCCCTGATTGTCCCGCCTCTTTACTGCAAGTTCCAGCAAGAATAAAAATGAATGAACATCAGAGGGTATGTTGAAAGAAGCAACGCAACTGGCTGAAATCCATCATGCAATCGTCCAATCAGTTTAAAATGTGGTAAGACGTCACATGTAAACAACCGGTCACCTAACATGACATTCACCTCAGTAAAGTTCTCCAGTAACTAGTTAGTTAGAAAAATTAACTCTAGAGGAAACATCACTACATTTATATATTATATTCATGTCAAAAAGTTTGGGTTTAGTACATAAAAAAATAAAATAATAATTAACACTTGTTTATCAAGGATACATTAAATTGATGACAAAGTGACAGTAAAAGACATTTCTAATTTTACAAAAGATTTCCATTTCAAATCAATTCTGATCTTTGAACTTTCTATTCAAAGAATCCTGATAAAATATCAAAACAAAAATATTAAGCATAACTTTTCAATATTGACAAGAAATGCTTCTTGAGCAGCAAATCAGCATATTAGATTGATTTCTGAAGAATCATGTGACACTGAAGACTGGAGTAATGTCTCCTGAAACTTTAGCTTTACCATTACAGGAATAAGTAACCTTTTACAATTTTAACATTCGAAAACAGTTACAATTTTAAATTGTAATATTTCACAATGTTACTGTTTTACTGTATTATTGAACAAATGCAGGCTTGGTGAGTATAAGAGACTTATTTTAACAACATTACTTTTGAACAACGTGTATTATAATACATTTAAAATCAAATTCTATCAAATAAACGTCTAAAAATGATTTTATAGCATCCAAGGTTTGCAGTGGCTTTGAGTAAAAAAAAAAAGAAGCATCATATGATTGAAAACCGACACCGTTTTTTTTCTTTTTAAAAACTCAAAACTCATTTTTGGGTGCAAGTGACGCAAAATGACTTAACATGACAACCATATAGCAAGGTGGTTGATCACTTGTAAATGAGATTGCTGACAACAGGGGTGTTATTTCCATAATTCAGTGCTTTGCATGCATTCATCTCTAAAGGCAACAATTAGGGTGAGCCATCCGCTGACGGTTTAGCTCTACAACCACAAGCTGGTCGTCTTACACCATCAGGAGATTTTGGATGGGCCAAAATATAAAAGTAGCCGGGATCACTCACCTTGTGTTCACATTTCTGGTCCATCGGTAACTTCATCCATTCACTGTCGTCCCCCATGGCTATTTTCTGTCTGTCTTATCTATTCAGCTAAACAAAAGAAGGGGAAACTTTGGTTGCTCGCACAGCATACAAAGCAGAACAAGCAAGTCTACCAGACCAACTTTTACACTTCATCACAGCATTCTCCACTAAATATGTAACGTTAAAGGTTACAGTTTAAGACACATAACAAACAAACGCCACATAACAAAATTCAGAAGTTTAGAGTTAAATGTTAATTAGACATGTTTGAGCTCATCTGATGCATGCAACAAACATCTCAACCATCTAAAGTATTAAAAACAAATGTAATTAATATGGCATGGGGAACTTGACAAGCTTGTCACAATAACTTTGCAAGATCATCATCCTCATGCATTTCAACAACAACAGCAACACCCTCCCTCCACGGGGCAGTGCTTATTACATCGAGCGAAAATTATGAAAAGGGAGGCTGTGAAACATGATCAGCTTTGCCCTTTTGGCGGTCACATTGTTTCGATTTTTTTAGGTCAAGTCGTTTTGGAGTTATTGCCATTTATCTCTGAATGTGTCACGAAAATCGAAAACAAAACTAACTTAACCCCGCTAAATGCACACATCCAGATCTGCAGCCAAAGCAGAGCAACATCCACTAATGCATCTCCCAGAAGAGGCTAGTTTCATATTACATATCGATCCGAGCCGAAAAGAACATCCTTAAACACAAAAGCCCAGGCTTTAAGTGAGGAAAACACCATATATGCCCAAGAAACGTGTAGAAGAATGATGCGTGCAGAAACCGCCGCCAATTCAGCCCGCCCAAAACAAACAGAAAAGAGCAAATAAGGAGTGTTCTTCGCAATACCAAACGATTAAATGACTTAGCAGCTGAAATATTTATAGATCAAGTAGTTTGAGGGTTTTAAAGGCGCTCGCGGTTTGTAGCGCATCACATGCGAGAACACTCTCGGGGTGCAGCAGAGCCGTTAGTGACCCGCAGCTGCTGTCGCTCGGGCCAGGGCTTTTTGCAGGATAACACGTTTAAATACGTTCCTACTTCAATCAGGACACAGCAAATCTACTCCTTACAGCTTTCTAAAACCATTTCCGTGTACGGTTTGTTTAGCTTCGAAGTGTAAATATGGTTCAATTTAAATATACCGGTTAGCCGTTAGCACATACGCGGCCCTGGCTGACTGTCTGTTAACGTCAGTCCTGCAACAGCTTAAACCATCACGAGATTCAAACAATATCGCCATTTTCACAGAGTTCCCCAACAAACACAACGCTGGAAATGTCAAAACTGACCCTTGCGATCTCACCTAACCTGATACGTGACTCACACTTTTGTTTGTCACAGATATAAAAGCGGCTTGACATTATTCAGTCCGTCACTAAAACTGAGGCCCTCAAATAAAACGCAGCAACCTACAACGAGGCAGAAAACATTTTAAAACGGCTTTCGCCTAATAATCTCCGAGCTCTCCCGATCACAAGTAAATATATCAATTTTAGTTACCTGCTTTCTGAGAGGGAAGACAGGGCGAGCTTCATCAGCTGGGACCGATATTTGGTCATTACTCTCCAGGCTTTGAAACGCCTCCGAGGGCGGGGAGACAGGAGGAGGAGACGCCTAGCTTTCATTCAAACCACCACCTCGTCTGCTATAGGCTGTAGACACAGAGCGACACGCGTCATAACCTGAAAACCACGCCCACCTGCGGGGAAAACAATCCAACGCTCTCCATTGACTTTGTATTGCGGGAAGCTGCCTCCTTGTCATTTCTGACTTATAACAAAAAACAGAGCAATGCCTAAAAGCTGCTATGTGACAAGGTGTACAGTAAACAAGCTAAAAAACCCAGAACTACGTTTTTATTAGCTGTCGACCCAAAAAAACGAGCGTTTAGGACACAAAAGTAGAGCGCAACGTGTCATATTACTCTTGAGAACTGCGCCCACCGGAGGGAAAAGTAATCGGCGACAATTCATTCATTATTTTTAACCATGTCAAAGGATTATTTAACCACCCTATGTGAATCTGAGGGGAGGAGATATATTAAGAAACTAAATTTTATTGGTCTATGGCAGTGCCCCTTTTCCTAACCTTCCTTTTGTTTGAGAAATGATCCAACTGAACGGCCCAAACGTGAAATACCCCGACATCTACAACTAGTTGTGTCCTAAACGCTCGGTTTTTGGGTTGACAGCTGATAAAAACGTAGTTCTGGGTACACCTTGTCACATAGCAGCTTCAAGGCATTGCCCCGGTTTTTGTTTTTTTTTGTTAAAAATCAGAAATGACAAGGAGGCAGCTTCCCGCAATAGAAAGTCAATGGAGAGCGTTGGATTGTTAGAACAAAACAAAACAAAACAACTAATATAAATTAATAATTAATAGTAATACATAATTAATAATAATTAGCATTATATATATATATATATATATATATATATATATATATATATATATAAAATGACAATTATTAATTATTTATATATAAAGAATGATCCCTGCTGTCATGTCATTGCCCTTTCTTTTTACTTTCCAGCTGAAACGAATGTCCTCTTCTATCTCAACGATGCAGTCACACAGCTACTTGAACATAAAGAGGAATACACTCAGTTTGGTGTGGCCCGATATTTTGCAGAATAGTAAGTTGTTATCATTTAGCACTTTTGGCTGTACAGCTATTAATAGAAATGAATAATAATAACAATATATGTAAAACATTTATTATTCCTGTCTTATTTATTACTATATTATAATATTTGATTTGTATATTCAATATTTAAATATAAGTATATGTTTTTTAAATACAGATTATATACCATGCTTGAACCATGTTCCAAAATATAATATCATTTTACAGTTTTACCAGTGTGAAGAATGGGAATCATGTGCTCTTCAGGGAATTCAGTTACATCAAGGCGACTACTCACAACAGAGAGTCCTTCATCCATATCTTCTGGAAATGCTTCAGACAGATTGGAAAGAATGGGGGTAAGCAGAGGCAAATCCTCTTATCATTTTTTATGTCAAGCCATAACTCTTTACATTAATTGCTTGCATTGGTGTGTTTACAGTGAACAAATACGGCTGTTTCTTCTTGCAGATCTGTTGGCAATGGCAGAATATAGTTCACTTTTACAGCTGTTGTGTCCTGACTTTCCTACTGAGATGGTACAAAATGCAGCCAGGTAGATTCATATATATATATATATATATATATACAGTAATATTGATGATTCCTTGAACTTTCCCTCGTTTCACATTGATATTTAACTTATTAACTTTCATATTTTCTTTCTGTCACAGGATTGTCCTGATAGAAGATGCCACTGACTGTCTAATGTCATTCTCAGATTTTATTTATTCATTCCAAATCCAGTTCTATTTTGAAGGTAATCCCTTATAATTTAATATAATAAAAATATCTAACAATATGAAGCTGCAGTTTTTGCTAATTATTTACTTACTTACAGGTGTTATCACTCAAGCACCCAATCACAAAACAGCAATGATGATTTCGTCACCTTGGAATTATAAGCTTCTATCTGCATTCTGAACAGTTTTGAGATATTGAGCTTCAAAGTTTTTGCATTCCATATAGTGATATGGGATATGGGGAACAACATGGCAGATAGAAATGGCAGATAGAACCTTATAATTCCAAGGTGATGATATTTAAAGGTCTGGCTTACAACAAAAGCCGCTCTGACCTTGAGAGTTTAACAGCAGTTGTAACAAAAGGACAGAGTGACATCATCACTACCATGTGAAAGCGTTTCTATGGTTACTCGAGGCTCCGAATGATCTCATCCTCATTCACTTCCGCAGAGTTTGTGGAGAGTGTGTCTGTGATTTACCAAGACCTGCTGTCGGGGAAGAGCCCAAACACTGTCATAGTCCCGACCTCCACCTCGGTGGAGCAGTTATCCAGCGCAGCCAACGAGGAGCCGGACGCTCAAGGCGGCGTAGACTCCTCCATCTTTTGTGAATGTATAGAAGGACTTTGTGAGAGGTTTAAACACAAGTAAGACAAAAATAAGACATTTTTAACACTCATAATTCATTCATATAGTGTACTATTATAGTATTTATTCATATTTTGAATTAGCTTTTATGTTTATATTTTTTATTTTAATTTTAGTTTAAGTTTTAGAAATGTTATCTGCTTGACAGTTTTGTTTTTTATTTCTATTCAACTATTTTTGTTTCAGATGCAATTTTAGTACTTTAGTTTAAACTTTTTTTATATCAGTTAGTTGACAAGGCAACATTTGTCATATTCATTTACGTTTTTTAAGTGTAAAATTTGGTTACATTTTATTTTAGGTGTCCTGTAAGACAAAAATAAGACATTTTTAACACTCATAATTCATTCATATAGTGTACTATTATAGTATTTATTCATATTTTGAATTTGCTTTTATGTTTATATTTTTTATTTAAATTTTAGTTTAAGTTTTAGAAATGTTGTTATCTGCTTGACAGTTTTGTTTTTTATTTCTATTCGACTATTTTTGTTTCAGATGCAATTTTAGTACTTTAGTTTAAACTTTTTTTATATCAGTTAGTTGACAAGGCAACATTTGTCATATTCATTTACGTTTTTTAAGTGTAAAATTTGGTTACATTTTATTTTAGGTGTCCTTGTTACAATGTAATTATACATATAAGTACTGAGTAATATTAATTAACTACATGTACTTACTATATGGTTAGGATTAGGGTTTGGCTTAGGGTTACTTGCTTGTAATTATGCATAATTAATTGCTATTATAATAGTAAGTACATGTATCATGTGTAACAAGGACACCTTAAAATTTTTAACTGTTATATTTTATTTTATATATTTTATTATACTAATAATATATATATATATATATATATATATATATATATAATATTAAAATTTCCATTACAGATTTTTTTTTAAATAGTTTGAAATAATTTCAAGTAATTTTATTACACTTGAATTTGCTATTTAATTTTTAATTATATTCAGTTTATATTTAAATATATACTAATATTTAAATTAAATTTTAATTATTGCATCAATTATAATAATAGGCTTATATAGTAACTTGTTTATCACAAAATATAATGGGACCCACTATAGCCATCCTCACTACTAGAAAATGATAGTGATTTCTTTTCTTCCTAGGTTTCCTTCCAGTGTTGCCATTAAGGAGATATTAGAGAGCAGTCAGCGAGTGTCTTTCTATGGCTTCCTGATGGCCTTGGCCAAACATGAGGGAGTAAACCAAGACATCGGTGAGCATTAGATGATGCTTAAATGTATTTCCGAATACATGTAACTTTTAATAATTAGAAATATAAACTGAACGCTTTATCTGGTGTCATATATATTTATCAGGTGCTCTTCCCAATAAACCGGACCTGCTGATTGATCCAGAGATGGACCAGGAGCTGGAGAGACTGTGAGAGAAACGGACTTGCTTAAAAGAGTATATTACAGTCACTTGCTGGTTAAATATGAACTGTCTGTTATTTAAAAAAGGGGAGCTTGCTAACAATCTTTTTATATTTAACACCTTTTTTTAAAGCTAATATACTAGCATTTAACACTATGATTCTGTGATTCTTCCAGCATAGCTCAAGTCGCCATCAGCCCGACCTCCAACAACAACAGCAGCAGCAGTGCTGCGGGACAGAAGGAAACGTCCAAGAAGGCCTCACCGCGCAAGTCCCTGCACCAACGCAAGAGGATCGAAATGGAGAGTGATGGTTCCACGGAGGAGACCGACTCTTCTGAGAATTAACATGCACAGACCTGCTTGTGAGCATCTTAATGGGTTTTTTAGACAACTGTGCCGGTTCACTAATTTGATTAGAAAAATCCAAAACTGCTGATACGTGTCTGTGTTCACTACTTTCCAGTTCTATGGGCTTCTCTGTAACCCAACTACTTCCATTGCTGAAGCAAAAAAATAAACAAAATAGCTTGCAATGTGGTGTCTGAAATGTCAAAAATGTATATGAACTTGTTTGTAGAAATGTAAAAATATATAGTAGTAGAGTAATTGATCTGTGATGTACTTTTAGAGGTTAAACCCAGAGAATATCACATTTGAATGCAATAGTGTATATATAAAAATTTATTTTAGTTTAATTAAACATATAAGGTCAGTACGTTTAATTAATTTACATAAACTTTTATTCATCAAGAATGCATTAAACTGATAATATACTAGCATTTAACACTATGATTCTGTGATTCTTCCAGCATAGCTCAAGTCGCCATCAGCCCGACCTCCAACAACAACAGCAGCAGCAGTGCTGCGGGACAGAAGGAAACGTCCAAGAAGGCCTCACCGCGCAAGTCCCTGCACCAACGCAAGAGGATCGAAATGGAGAGTGATGGTTCCACGGAGGAGACCGACTCTTCTGAGAATTAACATGCACAGACCTGCTTGTGAGCATCTTAATGGGTTTTTTAGACAACTGTGCCGGTTCACTAATTTGATTAGAAAAATCCAATACTGCTGATACGTGTCTGTGTTCACTACTTTCCAGTTCTATGGGCTTCTCTGTAACCCAACTACTTCCATTGCTGAAGCAAAAAAATAAACAAAATAGCTTGCAATGTGGTGTCTGAAATGTCAAAAATGTATATGAACTTGTTTGTAGAAATGTAAAAAATATAGTAGTAGAGTAATTGATCTGTGATGTACTTTTAGAGGTTAAACCCAGAGAATATCACATTTGAATGCAATAGTGTATATATAAAAATTTATTTTAGTTTAATTAAACATATAAGGTCAGTACGTTTAATTAATTTACATAAACTTTTATTCATCAAGAATGCATTAAACTGATTCAAAATACTTTTTTACTTTTACATTGTTACACTATATATATATATATATATATATTTACAATAAATGTTCTTTAGAACTTTTCTACTGTACATTGATAATTTTTTGAGCAGCAAATCAGCATATTAGAATGACTTCTGAAGGGTCATGTGACACTGAAGACTGGCGTAATGATGCAACACAGGAATAAATGACATTAAGAAATATTAAAATACAAAACTATTTTAAATTGTAATAGTATTTCACAATATTAATGGTTTTACTGTATTTTCGATCAAATAAATTCAGCCTTAGTGAGCCTAAGAGACTTTCAAAGACATTTAAAAAATCATACCAATCCCACAGTTTTGAAAAGTCGTGTATAAAAATCTTGTTTGTGTGTATACACATAGCCACACATACACTTTTAATAATTACACACCAGGACAATCCATTTACAAATAGGATTTAACTTTATGGGTTCCACAGAACAGTTATGATCATTCATAAAACAAAAAAAAACAATGTACAGTGAGAAATGAAATAGGCACAACTTGTGATTTTGCAGGATCGGTTTGCAGATATTTTTTGCAGACACAAATGATCCTAATAACTGAATTCCACCTTTCAAAATGGCCGTACCAAGCAAAACATCTTCACACTGTTCTACAGAAAACCATTTGGCCTGTTGATCTATTCAATGAAAACTTTGCTCATTTAGTGAATATTGCATATTAGTTAAGCGCATGCTGTGAGGATGTGCCATTTTGAAAGGACTGGTGAAGATGGGTCCATTTTAGGCCTTGGCTTTAAAACCTTTCTTTTTGTATCTGGGCCCTGGGGAGAAAAAATTAGCACAAATGTTTTTATTACCAGACAGCTGTATTCCTCAGCACCATTTCTGTCAGTATGACAGTAATGTTGTATCCTCTCCTTATATGTTTCAATTGCCAGAATAATATATTTTAAGATCTTTCCATTTCAATAGAATTATAAATAAGATATATATAATATATAAAAAGAAAATATAATTATTTGGTTTTCACAGCTACATACGTCAGGGATACCGAGATTGAAGCAGAATGCGAAGAAGCCCGACTACGTTCTGTTTAACAGAGCAACATATGGGAATATAAACACACATAAACATTAAATACGAGAACCAAAAAGTAAAAGCATTCACAGACGTGAGCATGGATGCCATATTGTATTTGAGAGACTTTGTAGTGCTCAACTGACTGAAGAAAAACGGCAGCAATTACCCTATTTAACATACAACACTTGAAATTGTGGCACAGCAATGCTCTGCATCACGGGTTCATAACCTTGGGTTCAAAGCGGTGCTAACCACCCTTTCAAAACAATGTGAGAAACATTGGAAAGTGGTCTTCAACCTGGGGTTTCGCATAGTGGGACACCAGATGGACAGACTGGGCTGAATTCAATTACACAGTTCACATCCATTCTGAGTGAAGAAGGATATGGCCCAATATAGCTTTGGTTTCAGATAATGTTTGATTTTGGATCCAGTCTAGCTTTAAAGCAACCGTATGTGTATTTTTGCGACTTTGAAGCCCCCTACATTTAAAAGAGTGGAATTCGCTGTCGTAATTACAGTTAACAGTACATGTGCATTTGTTGCTGCCGTAAAGCAATCCGCCCTTTTCGCGGTATTTCGTAGCCGCTCACCAAACTCACATACTCCCAGGCATTTGTGGAAACCATTCGACTCAGATTAAGTGAGCAATCAGAATGATTTTGAAACTGATATTTCAAGGTAACATTTTTTTTGACATACAGTTGTTTTAAGATCTCCTTGTGATGTTTCATCCATCATTAATGAATCAGACATTGTGCTTCGAATTAATTCAAAACCAGACTTCGCACAAATGATTTATATAAGTCACATCAAACTTTTTTTGTTTGTTATTAAACTTCATAAGGCTTTACACCAGTCAGTAATACTCGAGTTGTACTATGTGAAAGTAGTTGCGCTGTAGCTGATATCTGTTTCGATTTTAACATTTGTCTAAAATAGACATCATCAACATTATATCATCAACATAACACGGTACAAAGAGGCTCAAAACCACCATCATGCGACACCTCATATAGTATGTGATAATGGAAAAATACAAATAGACTGAAGGTCATTCGAGGAAGATGTCTTCTGTCGGACAGGAATATTCCATATGTTCTTTGTAGAACTGCTGAAAAGCTTTCCTGTAAAAACATAAGTATTTATTTATATGCATATCTATATTATATGCACTGAAGTCATATTTTAATTGCATTTTGGGAAGGTCTAGACGTGATTTTAGATCTAGAATTAGATCTAGAAAAATAGAGTTTTGTTTTTATTTGTGCTTTCAAAAATTGACTCAGGAGCAGAACTCATATTTCTGTCTCAAAAAGCAGGATATTTCTGCCATATTTTAACATAACATTTTTACCACTAAGGCCCTGTCCACACAAGCGCGGTTATTTTTAAAACTACGCGATTTTGCCGTTCGTCCACATGCAAACGCAGCACCAGGTCACTGAAACCGAACATTTCTGAAAACGCCTGCCAGGGTGAATATTTTCAAAAACTCCAGTTGCAGTGTTATCGTGTAGACAGCGAAACCAGAGTTTTTGGCTTGTGGCGTCATCGGAGCCTGCGCTGTTATCTCCGCCTACTGGAAACTTTTTCAGGCTTCTGATTGGCCAACATGGCTTTACGGTTGAGATTATATTGCCACCTGTTGGTTGGGAATGCTCTTGACAGTGCTTCATAGCATGCGTTTGCGTTTTCATGTGGACAGAGATTTTTTTTAAAACAGAAGAAGGAAAAACTCAGTTTATAAAAATACCCATGTACGTGTGGACATGGCCTAACTTGTAAACTGTTAAAGACAGACCAAATTTAAAGAGATAGTTCACCCAAAAATGAAAAGTCTGTCATTAATTCTGTCATCAAAACCCTAAGACCTTTGTTCATCTTTGGAACACAAATTAAGATATTCTTAATGAAATCCGAGAGCTTTCTGACCCTGCATAGACAGCAAGGGAACTACCACATTCAAGGCCCAGAAACGTAGAAAAGACATCATTAAAATAGTCCATGTGACATCAGTGGTTCAACCTTAATTTTATGAAGCTACGAGCTACAAGCTAAAACAAAAACAACGACTTTATTCAACAATTATTCTCTTCCCTGTCACTGTCCTCCTCCATTCACGAGAGTACCATGTCGCATGCATGTGCATTCCTCTGCTTGTAAACAAGGCGCAGCGCATGCTTGTTCTATGTCAGGAGCACCACATGTGTGCGTCATGGTACTCTCGTGAATGGAGGAGGACAGTGACAGGGAAGAGAAGAATTGTTGAATAAAGTCGTTGTTTTTGTTTTAGCTCGTAGCTCAAAAATATCTTAATTTTTTTTTCCGAAGATGAACGAAGGTCTTGCGGGTTTGGAACGACATGAGGGTGAGTAAGTAATGACAGAAATAATTAATTTTTGGGTGAACTATCCCTTTAAGCTACAATGTTGTTAATCAATGACTCCCAGGCATTTGTGGAAACCATTCGACTCAGATTAAGTGAGCAATCAGAATGATTTTGAAACTGATATTTCAAGGTAACATTTTTTTTGACATACAGTTGTTTTAAGATCTCCTTGTGATGTTTCATCCATCATTAATGAATCAGACATTGTGCTTCGAATTAATTCAAAACCAGACTTCGCACAAATGATTTATATAAGTCACATCAAACTTTTTTTGTTTGTTATTAAACTTCATAAGGCTTTACACCAGTCAGTAATACTCGAGTTGTACTATGTGAAAGTAGTTGCGCTGTAGCTGATATCTGTTTCGATTTTAACATTTGTCTAAAATAGACATCATCAACATTATATCATCAACATAACACGGTACAAAGAGGCTCAAAACCACCATCATGCGACACCTCATATAGTATGTGATAATGGAAAAATACAAATAGACTGAAGGTCATTCGAGGAAGATGTCTTCTGTCGGACAGGAATATTCCATATGTTCTTTGTAGAACTGCTGAAAAGCTTTCCTGTAAAAACATAAGTATTTATTTATATGCATATCTATATTATATGCACTGAAGTCATATTTTAATTGCATTTTGGGAAGGTCTAGACGTGATTTTAGATCTAGAATTAGATCTAGAAAAATAGAGTTTTGTTTTTATTTGTGCTTTCAAAAATTGACTCAGGAGCAGAACTCATATTTCTGTCTCAAAAAGCAGGATATTTCTGCCATATTTTAACATAACATTTTTACCACTAAGGCCCTGTCCACACAAGCGCGGGTGTTTTTAAAACTATGCGATTTTGCCGTTCGTCCACATGCAAACGCAGCACCAGGTCACTGAAACCGAACATTTCTGAAAACGCCTGCCAGGGTGAATATTTTCAAAAACTCCAGTTGCAGTGTTATCGTGTAGACAGCGAAACCAGAGTTTTTGGCTTGTGGCGTCATCGGAGCCTGCGCTGTTATCTCCGCCTACTGGAAACTTTTTCAGGCTTCTGATTGGCCAACATGGCTTTACGGTTGAGATTATATTGCCACCTGTTGGTTGGGAATGCTCTTGACAGTGCTTCATAGCATGCGTTTGCGTTTTCATGTGGACAGAGATTTTTTTTAAAACAGAAGAAGGAAAAACTCAGTTTATAAAAATACCCATGTACGTGTGGACATGGCCTAACTTGTAAACTGTTAAAGACAGACCAAATTTAAAGAGATAGTTCACCCAAAAATGAAAAGTCTGTCATTAATTCTGTCATCAAAACCCTAAGACCTTTGTTCATCTTTGGAACACAAATTAAGATATTCTTAATGAAATCCGAGAGCTTTCTGACCCTGCATAGACAGCAAGGGAACTACCACATTCAAGGCCCAGAAACATAGAAAAGACATCATTAAAATAGTCCATGTGACATCAGTGGTTCAACCTTAATTTTATGAAGCTACGAGCTACAAGCTAAAACAAAAACAACGACTTTATTCAACAATTCTTCTCTTCCCTGTCACTGTCCTCCTCCATTCACGAGAGTACCATGTCGCATGCATGTGCATTCCTCTGCTTGTAAACAAGGCGCAGCGCATGCTTGTTCTATGTCAGGAGCACCACATGTGTGCGTCATGGTACTCTCGTGAATGGAGGAGGACAGTGACAGGGAAGAGAAGAATTGTTGAATAAAGTCGTTGTTTTTGTTTTAGCTCGTAGCTCAAAAATATCTTAATTTTTTTTCCCGAAGATGAACGAAGGTCTTGCGGGTTTGGAACGACATGAGGGTGAGTAAGTAATGACAGAAATAATTAATTTTTGGGTGAACTATCCCTTTAAGCTACAATGTTGTTAATCAATGGTATATGCTTTTGTTGAAGGCACCAGTCTGCATTATTTTAACTACTACTACTTTTTTCTTCTTTTTTTTTATGTTTAATAGCAGAATTCCTGGTGAAAAACTACATTACCCATGATTCTTCAGAGAATCGCCACCAACTACATCAAAATAACTCTTTAGAGCTCTTTAGAGTCAGTCTCTCTATAATATGCTCTCAAACTACTTAAAGATTTTGTATATATAAAAATATTTTGCAATAAACAAAACATATTGTAATCAACATCTTTAAATCAGTAGCTTTATATTTATCTATTGCTTTTAATTCAATTGTCATTCACAATGTTTAATGCGATTGTTCTTTCCCCTCATTAAAACCACAAAGTCTTGCACCTTTGTTTTTGGTCCAGTTTTCATATACTTCTTGGCTTCAAATCAAAGTTTGTAACATTGTGAATCACTTTGTAGCCGATTGGTTTAGTTCATGGCTTATAACTTTTTTACAAAGACTTTTTCACTATGGGAAAAATAAATAGTGGACAGGCACTGTTGCACTCTATTTTCCCTTTTGACAAATCAGCAAAAAGACTCGAATGAGAAAAAAAGAAAGAAAAGTAAAGAAAACGCAACATTTTGTGGTTTTTAGTCCATATCTTTTAGCCCAGCATACTGCTAAAAGTTTACTTTTGACAACAAGATTTTGTAAAAAATTGTGTAAAAAAATTCTGTTTCTTGGAAAATGGCCCATATATGTTAATTTACTTTATCTAATCAAATGCTTACTAGAATGAAGATGATATGCCACCTGCAATCACCTAGTAAATAACCATGTATACTACTGTATATGCAGTATGCATAATGATTTGTAACGTACAAAAAGCAGTATGTTAAATGAGTAGGAAATGTTTCACAATAAATTAGTTAGTGTTTCAACAAGAAATAAGTCAAATCGAGAAACAAAAATTGTGTTTGTGGGATCTTTAAGCAACTAGAGCACTCACCCAACAGATTCAGCCAGTTTTGTGGTTGTATCATCTGAAAAGAACACATGACAGGCGAATCTCTGGTATGCTGGATGTTTCGTTATTACTCCAAAATACCTGAAAGAAACACACAGAGTATTTACTGTCTAGTATGTTGTTATTGTTGTATGTTCTATTTTTTCCTGTAGGGGGAGCTGTAACTATAGATGGGTAAAAATTGGGTTATTGTTTTCACGGCTTTATTCTTTTATTCAGCAATGCATTAAATTAATCAAATGTGATAGTAAAGACATTTATAATGCTATAAAAGATTTCTGTTTCAAATAAATGCTGTTCTTTTGAACGTTCTATTCATCAAAGACCATGCCCTAACCCCTAATTCGCTTATTTTCACATCAGAACAAGTCAAAATGGACAGAAAGGATCTAATAATAGCACTTTGAGAGAAACCATGCATTTCTGTTCAAACTCACTTCTTGTTCTTCGGATGGCACCCACAGAAGGAGATGTTTTTCAGCTGAAAAAAGTGAAAGCACTTCTCACCCTGTAAAATACAGAAAGAAAGATTGAGTGGTCTAATCAGCAGCAGGGATTGAAACATTAGTGTAAGCTGCAGCCACATGATATCAGTGCAGTTGTCTGAGTATGTACGCTTAACTCCTGAATCCTGTGGTTTACATCACTGAGCGCACTCACTAATTCACTCTTTTAGGGGTTTAGGGGGCGAGATCCCCCCCC